ATATCTGAGATATGTTGTTTCTTTCAATTACCTGTTGTCTTTCCATTCTAAATTGATAGTTCCCCCGCAGCATGTTACCCCTCCCATACTTGACTGTATATTACTGTTCCTCTTTTTCGTTGTATATAGTTGAATTGTGCAAGTTCATTTGGTAGTCTGGTCCTAACCTCGTCACTACTTCGCCTAGGTGAGGCTAGACACTTGCCAACACATGGGGTCAGTTGTGCTGATACTACACTCTGCGCTGTGTGCAGATCCTGGAGCTGCAGCTTTTGGACCGTAGATTGGGTGGTTGCCTTCAGTCCACACAGAGACCCAAGGTAGTCCTGGAGGCGTCCGCAGGCCCTGGCGTCTCCCTCTATCCCTTTACTCGTGTTTCATTTACTTAGTTCAGAAACAATGTATCTTTTATCTTTTAGACTTTGTATGTGGTATTCTTAGATCGTATGTGAAACTGTGACACCAGTTCTGGGTGGTCGAGGCTCAAGCAGTTATATTAGATACATATTTCAGATAGTTTACTGCATTTCTTCCGCTTATTGTAATTTTCGCTGTCTACATGTTATTGCTTTATAATTATTAAAGAATATAAATTGGTAAAAAAGTAATTTGTTCAAACAGTCGGCTTGCCTAGCTCACATTAGTAGGCGCCGTCACAACTCCCGAGGGTGGGAAATTCGGTCGTGACAATAACCAAAAGAAAAAAAAAACAAATCACATAAAACACGATAAGAAAATGAATTAGAAACACTTCGAAGCAATGATCTTATCTTGACAAATTACTCATAGCCAAATTAAGTAATTTCAAACATGTAGTATGGCTGAAGCAAATAAGAGAGACTACAAAGGACAAGGACAATAAATTTGTCCACCGGGTGTTCGCTAGATGATTTTGCTATGATATCCTTGAGCTACAATATTTGAGTCCAACTACTAAGGTTCAACTTGTTCATATTCATGTGGAATTGACTCATAAACCTAAAAATAGCTCTAAATGCACGAAAATTTCCTACTTTTAAGTTTTCTATTTTTACTTTCTTTAGATATCAGTTATGTTAAATAAGGAATAATCAAATATACAAAATATAATTAATTTTGACGTCCTAAAAATTAGAAAAATAACTTAAAGTACTTTTTTATCCAATATGTAATATATTTTTAAAGGGTAAAAATGACAAATGATATTTTACTAAGAGCCTTCGTGCTTTTAATATATATATATATAAAGAGAGAGAGATATTAAGCTCTGCGCGTAAAATTATTCAATTATAATATTAAATAATATATTTGAGTTTTAAAATAAAAATTAAAGAAAGAAAAAATGTAGCCTATGATTACTTTGGATGTTACTAAAATTTAGTAATCCTTTTCATCACCAGTTTGACTTTATTTATGGAACAATCAGCCACAATTTTGGATGTTTGCCACCTTCACTAATTTATTAAAAAAAATTATGCTGTATTTTTTATTTCATATAAAAGACGATGTAATAAATTACACGTAATTAAAATTTATTATTTTTATGTTAAAATTAAGTGTAATTCATAGACCATCGTGCAATATAGTACCCTAGAACTAAATTAAGCTACAGTTTGTGTTGGTTAAAATTATAATGTAAACATTTCATAAATTATTATTTAAGATTTTAAAATAAATCATGTATTTGCTCATATTCCAAATCATACAGAAACAAATAAGAATCCTATGGAAAGATGGACTTTTATTAATGGCTTGAGCTCTGCAGGCGCACGTTAAGCAAGAAGCTAACGTGCGCATAACGACGATGGCCAAACGTAAATCTCAACCAACTGCACCGCCTACGATACCAGAAAACGACGTAGGAGGAAGAATGGTAACACCGGAGACAGGGGTGCCACAAGTGATAGGACAAATGCAGCTCGTACAATGGATGACTGGGATGGGTAGTGCACCAACGATCATGCAAGCTTTAAAATGTAACAATGAAGAGAAATCAGTGGAGGAAGATGTTAATAATGCAGCGAGGAAATTGAATTTTTCGGTGAATCGAGTAGAACCTAAACAATAGGAGCCGTCTTTAGCTGATGTGGTAAAAGGCAACATATTTGTACAACAGTTAATGAAATTGGAATACTATCCTCCAGTAATGAAGGAATGAGTGAAGATTGTTCGATTGAATCGAGCTGAAGTTGCAGAGCAAACTCAAAAATGGAAGGAGATAGTTATTGGGTATGTATTGGGGGGAAACCCTAATTTCAAAGAAATGCTAAAGTTTGTGTATGAGGTGTGAAACTTTGTTACTGCACCTCACATGTACTTACATGATGATGGGTATTTTATCTTTCGATTTAATTCTGAGGAGGATAAGAACAAACTTATACAACAAGGACCATATACATATCATAATCGACCTATGATTCTGAAGCAGTGGGAACCAAATTTTTAGATGAACAAGGAATTGGCTAGGAAAATACCTATTTGGGTGATTTTCCCAGGACTACCTATACAATACTGGACTCCAAAAAACTTGGGAAGGATAGCCAGCTACTTAGGAAAACCTATATGCCTAGATAGACTTACAACTGAAGGGAAAAGGGTATCCTATGCACGTATGCTGGTGGAGATGGATGTTTCACAAGACCTACCTGAAACTATGTTAATAGAAGAAGAGTAAGGTCATTATAAAGAACAAATTCTGGAATATGAATGGAAACCTATGTACTGTGGACAATGTTGTCAAATAGGAACTCATGAGGAGAAGTGTGAGAAGGCAGTGAAGAAGAAGGCAAATGATGGATATGTAGAACAGGTTGGAAAACAGAAACAAAGGCAGGGGAAAATGGGTAATAACCAGATTAAAAAGCAATGGAAGGCTAAACCTATTACTAAACAAGTAGTAGAGCAGAAGGGACAAAGCAGTGAACAAAAACAAGAGGATGATCAGCTGATTAGGAAACCAGTAGTGCAGAAGGAGCAAAATATGACACCAGCAAAGGAACAACAAGACAGAGTGGAAAAAATGATTGAGCAGGGAATGAAAATGCAACCATTTCATAAATCCAGGGGTAAACAAAAGATGAAAGATAAAGCAAATTCACAACAAAAAGGAGCATTGATGGAAAAAGAAATTATGAGCATGATGAATAAAAACAGATATAGCCCACTAGTTATACAGGAGAATAACAACACTAGAAGAGTGGCTGAAGGGATTAGCCTCAATGAGGAGAATCCTCCATGATCATTAGCTCTTGGAACATAAGGGGGCTTAATAAGCTCTATAAGTAAAAAGAACTCAAGGCCTTTTTGCTTGATCAAAAAGTAACTTTACTAGGTTGCCTTGAGACAAGAATAAAATCTAGAAGTAGTATGAAAGTTAAAGAGAAGTTTAGTAAGGACTGGAAAATATATTCAGATGAAGCTGTGACAAATAATGGGCGAATTTGGCTATTCTGGAAAGATAATATGATTCAGGTCCAGATAATTGGGACTACTTTTCAATTAGTTCATTGTATGGTGAAAGATAAGAGATCAAGCCTCTCAAATTACATTACTTTTGTGTATGAAAAGAACAAGCTAAATGAAAGAAAGGAACTATGGTAGAAACTAAGACAGATTAACAACAACATGCAAGAGACTTGGCAGATTATTGGAGATTTTAACAATGTCTTGTCTGTACATGATAGACTCAATGGGCAACCAGTACATCAAGCTGAAATGATAGATTTTCAAGAATGCATAAAGGATATTGGACTGGGGCAATTAAACAAGAAAGGATGTGAATGGACCCGGTGTAATAAAAGAGGCGCTGAAGAGAGAATTTATAGTAATATAGACCGGACATTTGGAAATGCTTCTTGGCTAACTCATTACAGTAGCCTTGAAGCAATTTACGAATTGCCAGGTGTCTTAGATCACTCTCCCATTGTTATCAACACTGAGGTAATGAGGAATCACTTACCTAAACCCTTCAAATTATATACTGTATTACTTAAGCAGAAGAAGTTTGATGAAGCAGTTAAAGAGGTATGGAGCCAAAATGTTCAGGGCTATGCTATGTTTTCAGTCTGGAGGAAGTTGCAAAAGCTAAAGGATAGAACAAAGACAATGAATAGAGAACTGAATTCACTGAAGAAAAAGATAGGACAGGCTAGAGAACAGTTGAAAAATGTTCAAGGAGAAATTGATAAAGACCCTTTTAACAGTCTGTTAATAAATACAGAGAAGAAGCTGCTAGTACAGATTGAAAAATGGGAAGGTATTAATAAACAGGTACTAAGGCAAAGATCAAGCACAATGTGGATTCAGGCAGGAGATCAAAATTCAAAAAATTTCCATGCTCACTTGAAGGCCAGACAATCAAAGAATAGAATATCAGCAATCTATAATGATCAAGGGGACAAATTGACAGATGCTGCTATGATAGAACAAGAATTTAGAGGATTTTTCCAAGCTCTGTTGGGTACATCAGCTAGAGAATTACCTTGTATTGATATTGACATAGCAAGGGATGGACACTGTCTTAGTAAGGAGCAACAACAACTCCTTAGTGCAAAAGTAACAGAGGAGGAAATTGACAAAGCAGTTAGAGAATTGCCAAATGATAAAGCACTGGGAATTGATGGATTCCCAGCAGAATTCTTCAAAACCTATTGGAGTCTGATTGGAGAAGAAACCAAAAAAACAACTCAAGAGTTCTTCAGAGAAGGCAGAATGCTAAAAAGTATAAACTGTACCACTGTGACTTTGGTTCCAAAGGTCACAAGTCCAAGATTTATCAAGGAGTTTAGACCAATAGCATGTTATACTACCATGTACAAAATTATAGCAAAGATCATTACAGATAGATTGAAGCTGGTAGTTGACTCTATTGTGGGACCTGCTTAGTCTGCATTTATAGAGGGGAGGAACATATTGGACAATGTAATTATAACACATGAGCTGGTAAAAGGATACTATCAGAAAGGGGTTTCACCTAGGTGCTGTATTAAAGTTAACATAAGGAAAGCATATGACTCTGTGGAATGACCTTTCTTAAGGATGATTCTGATGGAGTTTGGATTGCCTGTGGGATTTGTGAAATTGATAATGGAGTGTGTGACCACAGTCAGTTATTCTTTGTTATTGAATGGGGGATTAACAGAAAGATTCCAAGCAAAAAAGGGATTAAGATGAGGAGACCCCATGTCTCCTTACTTGTTTGTGTTGGTGATGGAATATCTAAATAGATCTTTGAAGAAGCTGAAACATATTACATACTTTAACTATCATCCAATATGCTCCAGGAATCATATAACACATATCTGCTTTGCAGATGATCTGATACTATGTTGTAGAGCAAACAAGATTTCAATACAACTATTACTAGAGAAACTCAATCATTTTTCTGAGGTTTCAAGTCTGCAAGCTAATATGGAGAAGAGTGCACTGTATATTGCTGGGGTTTCTAAAGAATTTAAGGAACAAATACTAGAAGAATTGCAATTCATTCTGGGAGACCTTCTATTCAAGCATTTAGGTGTGCCGCTATATTCAAAGAAGCTGTCTATTCAACAATGGATGCCTCTGGTTGAGAAGATAACAACAAGAATCAACTGTTGGACATCAAAATTCTTGTCATACAGTGGGAGAATGCAACTGCTAAAGAGTGTGGTTTTTGATATGCAAACGTACTGGGCACAAGTTTTTTTACTGCCTAAGAAGATCATTAAGATGATAACTACAGTATGTGGAACTTTCCTATGGACCGGAATTAATGAACCTTCTAGGAGAGCATTGGTAGCTTGGGTCACTATATGTAAGCCAAAATCAGCAGGTGGACTTAATGTTTTGGACCTCCATTATTGGAATAAGCCTGCTCTGTGCAAGTTACTATGGGCTATAACTGAACGAAAGGATACTTTGTGGATTCAATGGGTTCACAGCTTCTACATCAAAAACAGAAATGTTGAAAATATGAGTACTCCAAAGCAGGCATGCTGGATAGTAAAGAAGATTTTTGATGCAAGGGATTGGCTTAGGCAGAATAATCCTAATGAAACTCTAAAAACTTTTGCAAGTCAAGTAAGTTCTGTATTAAGAAGTTATACACTGCCTCAAGACCACAATATCAGAAGTGCAACTGCAAGAGACTAACTATTGCCTCAAAAGCAATACCTAGACACCAGTTTATTCTTTGATTGGCACTGCATAAGAGATTGGCTACAGTCGAGAGACTACAGAAATGAGGAATAGTAGTAAGCAAAGACTGTGTACTGTACAGAAGTAATGTTGAGGAAACATTTGAACACTTACTATTTGATTGTGCATACTCTAGAACCATGTGGGCTAAAATGTTGAGCTGGGCAGGAGTAAAGCATCATATAGGAAGCTGGGATGATGAGATCGAATGGATAGCAAAAGTAGCTATAAACAGAATCAAGGGTGAAATTTTAGTGTTCCTATTTACAACAATGGTTTATCATGTATGGACTGAAAGGAACAATAGAAGATTCCAAGGAAAAGAGATAACATGCAACAAGAGAATCAAGGAGATTGTTCTAATGTTACACATAAGAGGACAGAGTGTAGAAAACTGAAAAAAAGAATTAGAATAGCTCAACAGTTATCCTAGCTAGATAGTCTGTAATTAGAAGCTAGGTATTGATAGCAGAAGTGTTTTTTTGATGTTTTGTTTATTGCTTATAGATATGATATATTGTAATGATCCGACTGGTCATTTTAAACTTTTACACTTTTCTCGCCAGTTCTCGGGCATGACTTGCCCCGCGTGATATATTATGCCTTATGTAAATCATTGGTTTTGGTTTTCAGGGTAATCAGAATGAATTTGGAAGAACAACTCTCAGTTTGAAGCCTTAAATTTAAAAGGTTTGACCAAGAGTTGACTTTTTTGTATATGATCTCGGATCAGAATTTTTATGATTTGGTTAGCTCCATTAGGTGATTTGGGACTTAGGAGCATGATCAAAATGCAGTTTGGAGGTCCGTGGAAGGTTAAGGCTTAAATTAGTGAAATTGAGATTTTGACGTTTTTCGGTTGATAGGTGAGATTTTGATATAGAGGTCGGAATGGAATTCCGAGAGTCGCAGTAGCTTCGTTTTGTCATTTGGGATGTGTGTGCAAAGTTTCAGGTCATTCGGACAAGATTTAATAGACTTTTTGATCGAAAGCATAATTTAAGAGTTCTTGGAGTTCTTAGGCTTGAATCCTATGTTAAATTGGTGATTTGATATTGTTGTGAGTGTTCTGAAGTTTTGAACAAGTTTGAACGATGTCATGGGATGTGTTGGTACAATTGGTTTGAAGTTCCGGGGTTCCGGGTAGGTTCCGGGATGTTTTAGGCCGAAAATCATAGCTGTAGCAGGTCCAGAAGGGTTGCAGGCCTCGGAACCCACCAGCGCGGTCCACATAAAAAGAAGTTCGGCCGCGGTATGTGCTGTGCGGACCGCACAAAATGAAGTGCGGCCGCGGTAGGTGCTGTGCAGACCGCACAAAATGCAGTGTGGCCGCGGTGGGGGACATTTCACTGGTCCTATTTTGGAAGCTCATATCTTTTGATCTACAATGAATTTTGGGATAATTTAAAAGCAAAAGTTGTAGCCCTTCGTGTCTAGTTTCTAGAAAGATACAGATATTGCAATTTGGACATCTGTAGCAAAGGTTATGGACAAAATACTAAAGTTTGTCACTACAGAGGAAAGCCTGTGCGGCCACAGTCATTTTTGTGCGGACCGCTCTGATTTTGTGCGGATCGCGGTCGGTTTTGTGTGGTCCACGGAGGTGAAAATCTGTGGGTTACTCTATAAATACAAGGTTTTGGGTATTATTTGATATTTTGACCTAGAGAGCTCGAATTTTGGCGATTTTTCGAAGGTTTTTCAAGAAATTCATCGGGGTAAGTGATTTTAACTCAGATTTGGCTAGAGTACATGTATCTATCATTGAATTCATCATTTAATTCGTGATTTGGGAAGAAATTGTAAACTCTTTCAAAAATGTAAAATGATGATTTGAAGGACCAAATAGTATCAAATAGTATCGGAATCGAATAATTTTCGTATGGTTAGACTCGTGAGAGTATAAGGATTTTAGTTTTGTGAATTTTGGTCAAATTACGAGATGTGGGCCCGGGGGTCGGGTTTGACCAATTTCGGGAATTTTGTGGTAATTTGATTATTTTCGAGTGGGCTTTGTTCCCTTAGCACATTTTGATGGTTTTGTACTGATTTCGGCTAGATTTGGAGCATCCGGAGGTCGATTCGAGAGGCAAAGACATCACGGGCTAGAGTTCGGACCGGATAGAGGTGAGTAATGATTGTAAATGATGTTCTGAGGGTTTGAAACCCCGGATTGCACATCGTAGTGCTATGTTGAGGTAAGGCACACGTTTGACGACGAGCGTGGGGTCATGTACTATTGGGGATTGTGACTTGGTCCATCCCAATTGATGATTTTATCGCGTATTTGACTGAAACTAATTGCTATCATCATTATTTGGGTTGCATGCCATATTTGGGCCTAGTGCCAGCTATTTGAACCCTTCGGGGATTGTTGTTGATATTTCCTCACTATTTTGATTTTATAGTTGAACTCAATCATGTTATTTTCCATTGTTTTCAAAACTCAGCCAAGTTTATTTTGCTTTTACACTTGAAATGATATTTCAAACAACATTTTTTGGGCTGAGCATCATGTTTTACTGTTGCCCGAGTGGCTTATGTGATTTTTGACTGAGTAAGGCCGAGGGACTGTATTGTGAGGATACTTTTGGATCGGGCTGAACGTTGCAACAGTGAGATACTGATTTGATTATGAGGCCGAGGGCCTGAGATATGTACGCCACGGGGTGGCTTGTTGATTGATATGAGGCCGAGGGCCTAGATTTGATGCCACGAGATGGCTTGATATTGCGCTTGGGCCATAAGGGCACCTCCCAGAGTATGCACACCCCCAGTGAGCGCGGGTACCCATCGTGATATGAGATATAGCTCGAGGGGCTGGTACTGTTCTGAGATTGTGCCCGAGGGGCGAACCTTTATGTGTTTATCTTCTTAATTGCCTGTCATTACCTGTTGATTGTGTATTTGTGCCAGAGGGGTAGATTTCTGTTCTTATCTGCACTAATTGTTTTGCATTCATTTGCATAACTGTTGAAAAAGTCATTTTCAAAAAGTTTCAAAATGAGCTAAGATGTTTTTAAGAGATTTTACAGCTTCACTACTTTCTTACTGGATTTGAACTGCTTCTATACAACATCCTGATATGCTTTATGTGATTTCTTACCATTCAGACTTTAGTTATGATTATTACTCACTAAGTTGGAGTACTCACTTACTCCCTACACCTTGTGTGCAGATTTATGTATTTATACACCCGGTAGCAGGTTTTGGCTGATCGGAGGCAGAGTCATCAGAGTTTAGCAAGGTAGCTGCCAGCGTTCGTAGCACTGCTTTTCTCTCTAATCATTTCATTAGTCTGTGTTTGTACACTTCAGACTTTCAGTTGTATTTATACCCTAGTAGATGCTCGTGATTTGTGACACCCCGGTTAGGGCTGTGTTGGGTTGTACTTTCGCACCTTATTGACATTATCCTCTACTTAGTATTGCTATATCATGTTTTAGACTGCTTTTATGATATTTAACTGTTTAAAAAGTGAATTAGGTATAATTGGATGGCCTTGTCTTCACGAGAGGCGTCATCATGACCGGGTTCGGGTTTAGGGTCGTGACAAGTTGGTATCAAAGCCTAGGTTACATAGGCCTCACGAGTCATGAGCAGGTTTAGTAGAGTCCCGCGGATAGGTACAGAGACATCTGTACTTATCCTCGAGAGGCTACAGAACCTTTAGGAAAAATTTCACATTCTTGAATTCTTATCGTGCGTCCTTGATTCAGCTTGAAAAGTAACTCTTTGAATTCCTTCCACGCGTTCGTATGCGCACATGAGCGATTAGTATCAGATGTGCATCGATGGCTTGTGATTCCATGATCGAGGGGCGAGATACGATCTCTGTGTGTTGATGTTGGGACAGTTTGGATGACTTGAGGCCGGATTTTTGCCTATAGCTTGAGCACCAAGGTGCTGATTGTGTGAGCAAGTGCTTTTGAATTTATATGTTCGGTATTTTTCCCTATTAGTGGAAGTGACGGATGGATGGCTATGTAATGAGAATGTTAGTGCTGCAAGATGTATTCGTATGATTTGGAAGTGACGAGAAAAGTATACTGGAGGATAGAAGAACTATTAGGTGCTTGATTTCCATCTTGATTCGAGTTATAACCCGTATTATGGGCATGTGAAGAATTTTTCATGTTTCCTAGTTGAGAGTGGAGTAGATTTCATGTTGCAGTATGAGTTCAGACTCAAGAAAACTAAGTGACCGCGTAATGGTTATGACGGTGGAAGGTATACATAAATGTTAGTTTAAGGCGAAGCAGGTGGGTTATCTCCTGCGAAGTGTTCTGGAGTTGTGTGATCTTTATGTTGTCTGTTAGAAGATCCCATTTACAAGTGAAATATATGTGTGAATTTAATTTGGGTCCCTTAGTAGAGTGGGTTTAATTGTTACGAGAGTAAATGCGAGATTTGTAGAAGAAATGAAGTACCAGATGGTCTGTGTTCCACGAGCTTATGAAGGATTGAGTTAATCTCACTATGGTGTTATGGCAGCAATAAAGTGTATGCATTATGAGTTATGGTGCGTGTTTTGATCTATGGCTTTGAGCCAAGTGGGGGAGCCCGCTATTGAATAGTTGATTGCACGGTTATGTGCTCTAATGGTTCCAGCTCTAGGCGAATCAGTTATGGCTCGAGTAAAGGAAATTTTAATAAAGGCTATGTTATGCTTTATAGGTGTACGAGAATCGGGAATGATTTGAGTTGTGGTTGGTAAGGAATGCTCGGTGCATAGGGCAGGAAGTTGGTTGGTTATATTGGAATAAGGTCACATTCTACAGTGTCGGAGTGCTAGTGAAGCACATGTTGTTCGGTTCGTTTAATCAATCTAACTGCAGGTTGAGTAGAGTGGATGGCTCTAGAGAATTGTCCTATTGTGTTCAAAACTCTACATGCAATAATTGGAGGCTTTCAAGTTGCACTTATGGCTAGAAATTGAGTTTTCAATGGAAGAT